AGGAGACCACTGCAGTAGTCCAGCCGACTAGAAATAAAAGCATGATTACGTTTCTCCAAGTCTGGTCTGGACATGAGACCTCTGACTCTTGATGTCTGATGAAGGTGATAAAACGATGATTTAGTTCTAGCCTTAATATGTCCAGAGCTTGTTGAAAGACACAGGAACTGCCTAAAAGTTTACATATGTGGAACAAGCAAGATAACAAATACTTTGGGGAGCTCTTTATCACCATCTGAGGTGAGTGGACGTCAGCGAACAAGCTGTGAGCTCGATTTCAGCTGAGCGGTGCTGAGCTGGGACAGCTGCAACTGATTCCCAATCTGCAAGGATGGCCGGTTCAAGGAGCCGGCAGACCGCACCTAGACGCCGGATGATTACTCACCTTGGGTACCACCAAGAAAATGGTCTAAAGCCACATTCGAGTCTAACCTGTTCTCCTATCTCCAGGTTCTCCATCCACCCGTCAACAATAACCTCCTGGACCTCTTTCAAGCCACATCTCTGCCTGCTACCCGTCTGCCAACTCTCCCACCGCTCACCTCTCCTGGACCCCTGGCTGTTGCCTTTTTGAGTCGTCTCACCCTTTCCCTGGAGCTCACTGCCTCCTTTTTCCCCCCTTCAAGCTTCCCGCTACCGCCACACGTGGTGGTGCACCTTTAGTTTCCTTTAAATAAATCTCTGCTTGCTTTCATTTCCTGCGTCGTGACGGATTCTTCATGTCGTGGGTCCAACGCCTCCACCCAAACATCACACTCTTGTTGTGCACTGGATTATTTACAGGACAAATAATCATCAAACCGATTTCTCTAAGTAACTGGTTGTTTTAAAAGCTGGTATAGACTCGGCATTGATGATTAGGCTGGTCAGTAGCAGGTTGGTGGCCAAGCGTGGAGGTTTAAAACCAATCGTACAACTCTGAACGATATTTTACGTATTTCTAAACCTTTACACTTTTGCATTTTACTGCTTTGTTTAGTTTATGGTGATTGTTTCAACAATTGTTTTAAATATTAGAAATCTGACTGATTTTTCACAGATTTGTCAGCTATGAGTTTTGCTCTGGTCAGAGGACCTCTTCCGGTTTCTAAAGACTCCACCCACTTTGAGTAACATCAATGACAGGTTTGGTCCAGAAACAACTGGTGGAACAAACCAGCTTGTCCAAGCCACCCCTAGAGGGTTTACAACTAAATCGAAAGATAAATGAGTGCGTTTACATGCAGCCAGTAATCCTTTTAAAACGCGAATATTCACAATAACCCGGTTCCGCAGGTCCTTGTAAACACCGCCAAAAACCCGGATATGCGCATAACCGGGTTTTTAAAAACCCGGTTACAACACCTGGGGTAACCCTTTTCTAACCCGAATGTTTGGTCGTGTAAACGCATACCGGGATATCCCCATCAAAGCGTGTGTTCTGCGCATGCTCTGTTCGCAAGGAATCTTGGTCTTTTGAGTAGCGAGACGTCTTGTATGCGCCAGAACACCGGAAGTAAACAACAAGTTGGGAGCAACATGGCGAGTCGCGGCACAGCACCACACTTTTGGAGTGACGAGGAAACTAAAGCGCAAACAAACGCGGTCGCTATCTCTTCCGAACTGGGAAACATGTTGTTGTTTTCACGGATACCGGAACAAGAAGAACCGGAAATGAGGCATATTGCGTCTGGACGTAGTCCATACGTCCTGACGCTACCCCAACGTCCGCATTTAAATCGGGTTATGCAAGTTAGGGGTAACTCTTTCTATTTATGCTTGTAAACGGGTTATTCTGATCAACTCAGAAACCCGAATACCGACCTTAACCCGATCATAACCCGGATATTGGCTGTATGCAAACGTAGTCAGTGACCTGCAGTTGTACAGCACCCTCCAGAGTCAGAGGACTCCAGAGCACTTTACATTAGAGGGAATCATTTACACACACACACACACACACACACACACACACACACACACACACACACACACACACACACACACACACACACACACACACACACACACACACACACACACACACACACACACACACACACACACACACACACACAATCGGCCCCTCAAGCAGCACCAGTAGGTAGCAGAAGGAAGTTTCTTGCTAAAGGACACAACAGCAGAGTTCCCTGCAGGGAGCTGGGATCGATCCTGCAGCCCTCTGATTACTGGACAACCCGCGCTGCCTCCTCAGCTCCCGCTGCCCCAAATCAATGCTGTGAGGCAAAAAATAAGGAAGTATAAACAATGGACCGTTTTTTTTTCTGCAAGAGAAACAATAAGAGCAGCTCAAGGCTGATTATTCAGAGGCACCAGTACCCAATCGTTTGGTTTGGTTGGTTTGTAAAGAAGAGAATAACAAAACTAAGGGCTCAGCTGTTGATTTTACACGGTGGTGGTTAGCCCAACATCGAAGAAATGAAGCCGACTGGCCGCGTGAGGGGAGGAGCTTGGCTCAAATCCACCTACAGGTCTTGGATGACAGATTTGGTCAGGACCATTAAGATGTAATTCCATCAGCAGAAAGATGCATCAGTGTGTTTCTCTTCCGGGATCATGGAGTGAAGTCAAACAGAAACATCTGGTCGCAGAAACTCAAGACAACAGTCTGCATTTGCCACTTATGGTTCAGTGTTAATATAACTACTGTGGTTTGTCATGTAATAACATGATCAGGCGTAATAACATAATAATACTACAATAATGTTAATGGGAGAAGGTCCAGTTAGATGGTAGTAAGGCGTGTGTTCAATCAGTGTGTTTATATAAAAATATCAGTTTTATTAGTTTGATTTAAACCGGACTGAAATCCGAAAAAAAAGGAGGAAATTCTGTTGTTAGAAAACAAAAACCGGAGGAGGTGCGGAGTGGAGAGGAAGACGAGGAGCGGGTGAAGGAATCATGTGTGCAGGCGGTGCACAGTTGTCAAACTCGCTGAGAGCAGTGTGATGTGCACAACAAGACAAGTCTCATTTCTTTTTCTCGGTCTCCCACCTTCTTGCCTGTCTCTTTTTGCTCTTTCACCTATTTATCTTCTGCTGCCAGGCCCCGAAACGTGTCCCACCTCTCCTCCCCCTCCGTCCATCTCCTCTCCATCTCTGCTGCTAACTTTGACTTTGAGAAAATGCAAATGAGACTCACGCAGAGCTGCTGGAGTGGAAACTTCTTTTACATATAGATTTCTGCTCAGGAGAGGAGAGCAGGTAAATACAATATAAGATGGAGTGTGCAGTCGGTCTCTTCCTGTTTCTGTGAGGACCTTCTGCTAAATTCAGAGGGTTTTTCTAGTTTGTCCGACATTTAGTCAAGAATCTGGTTCACCAAGTAATATTTTACAAAATGTGCATTAATAATACTTTTTAGTAAAGACTTTTACTAAATTAAACAGCTGTTGAAGACTATGATCAGACAGAGATATTTTAGAAACAGACGATGCCCGCACTGCCCGCTCACCACAGCCATGGAATACACCTCATCAACACACACTAACACCATATTGGAGCAGGCGGAGGGAGACTGGGGGTCTTAGCACACCTCGGTTGTTGCTAGGCTTCCTGGGGCTGGAGGCTAGGAGGGAGATCCGGCCGTGCGGTTGGGGTCTGGGGTGGTGGGTTGCTGTGCTCAGCGTTGGGCGTGGGAGCCTGCTCAGCAGCACCCCAGCAGAAAGGGTCGAACTCTGGGAACCGGTGATGGTTGTACCCCATGTGCAGCAGTACCGGGACCAGAGTGAATAGGGTGTGTATGGGGAGCATGAGTGAGTGTCCGGCGTGCATTTTTGTAAGTCTTGGGTTGTATGTGCATGTGTGAGCATGAGGGAGGGAGTTTGTGACTGTGTTTGTGTACGACTGTATATGTCAGGTGGGGCCTTTGTTTCCTCTCTTCTCCTGGAACCTCTCTTGATGATATAGATCTCCATCTCCCCTCCCCCTGCCACACCTGGTGTGAGGGGTTGTGCCATGGTCTGCCTGAGTGTTCGTGGCTCCCGGGTCAGGGGGTTTAAGATTTTTGGTGTCTGCTTGATCAATCCCGGTGGCTGTCTGGTGGGGTCTGGGTCCCTGGGCTCTGCTGGGTCCCCGGCGGGGGTGGTCGCCCCTGGGTCCCGGACTCAGCCGGCTAGGGGGTGGGAGGCTGCGGGCGGGCCTGTGGGCTTGCCGCCGATATCTCCCGGGACTCTGCCGGCTGCTGGTTGTGGCTCACCGGGGCGATCCTCTGCCTTTCGAGGGGGGCGGGGGCCTTTCTGGTTGCAGTCTCCTTGGGGTTCCTGTGTTCTGGGGCAGCGCCTGGATCTCTGGGACTTGGAGTTCCTTCCTTCTCCTACGCATATTTAGGGGGCAGATCTGTGGTCCCTCACACTCTCTGTTGGATGCTCCTATAGAGAAACCTTACATAAACAAGCGCGTGTACACACACAGGTGTTCACATGTGCTCTCATAAGTATAGACTTGGGCACGTTCAACACAGGTCTTAAGGCTGTGGTTAGCACTACATGCACTGTGATTTATTATCGTGTGATTGTTCAGTTAAACAATGCTGATTGCATAATTCATCATCAAGTTGACGCAGTGATAGCTTGATCTTGTTGTATTGTTGTGTGTCCCATTTTTTCTCTTCTTTCTCTTTCTGCAGGTCTAGAAGCAGACTCTTGTTTATTATTGTTACAAGTCATCCTCCCAAACTAGCTGACTCTTTAATAAACACTACGTCTCAGGGTTGACTTGTAATTCTATTTGTGCGTGAGCGTGAATCCAGTCTGAGCTTACACCTCTGTGAGCTAATCAGCGATCATCTTTACCTAGATTTAGACTCTGGCAAACATACTTTAGCAGCACAAAGGAAGACTCTTGTTATAACTTCACCACAACTCAGTCACCTGCAGCTTATGCTGTGCCCAGGTTAAAGACTTTAAGTTTAAATGTAAACCTCTTGGAGCGGGATTAAAAGTAACCAGCGCCTCACCTTTCAGCTGTTACACGACACGATTGGAGACCCCAGGCTGGAAATTCCGTTTAAAGCCCCTTATATGAAGGAGCAAATATTTTATTTTATATGATGAAGTAAAAATATTCCAGATTTCCCGACGCAGCGGGTCAGATCACTCAACCGTTACAGTTGTCCTCCAAACTCTCCCCAAACACCCAAAAAGCCCCCAGAGACCAAAAAGCCCCTTGCCCACGGAGCCCTCACACTTTTATTCTCCCCAACTCTCTCCTCTGGCCCCCCTTCCGTCTCCATGGCAACCCCTGCCTCGGAAGCATTCTCCGGCCTTGGGTCTTCTCCCAGCCCCCTCCGGTATCAGCCAGATGGGCGGGGGTCTTCCCTCCTCCTTCTTCCTTCTTCAGCTCAGATCAAAGGAAGTCAAACATGAACATCTCCATACGTGTCCCTGAAGTTCTTATCACATCCTGGGCTACACCATAAAAAGTCGATACAAGGTTAAACTACAACATAAATTTGTCATGGATAGCAGATTAGTTGAAACACACACATCATTTATGGCAGCATGAGATCAGGAGTCAAATCACCACACACAGACCTCTAGCTGAACCCTGAAGCCTGGTTTCACTAACATACAGATTTGAGATGTAATCCAGAACTGCTATTATATAATAAGACAGGTCTGGAGGAATCGAAAATCTTTATTCAACACCCCCCTTGAAACCAGGCTTGGTTAAATGGCATAAACTGCGGAAAATACTGCATATTCAAATTCCCTGGATACAAGCAAACATGTGGATTTAATGCATTCATCACTGGTGGCACCATGGCCTGGACAGACGGAGCGGCCTGAAGTTGCTGACGCAGATCGAACTCCGGAGGGCTCACTTCCTGCATCGGAACGTCCACTTTAGCAGGTGATGGTTGTATCCTGACCACACGCCTTGGCTCTTCGCACTCCTGCACGTAGTCGTTGTGGGGTGTACTGATCCAGCACCAGTCTACGTCGCCTTCCCTGAAATGGGAGAGTACACAGGGCAAGCGCGTCTGGCCCCGCGACACATCGCGCCTGACACAATCAAAATGCTTAACTAAAGTCGAGCGTGTAATTCTCTGAAGAATCTTCTCCCTCCTCGCCACTCGAGTCCCTTTATGACTGGTACCATCAGAGACCAACACAATACATTCCCAAACATGTGCGTTCCACGGTCCATTCGGGTTTATCCTTACAGGTTTACCATCCACCAGCCCGTAAAGTGAAACTCTCTTGGGTGGCATCACCCCAGGCTGACGTCGCTTGTTCACCAGCGGCTTCTGTCCACTGGGTGGCAGCACCAGCATCTCCTGAGAGTCTGGGCCAGGCAATAGATCCTCTGATTCATCAACCTAAAACCACACACAGAGACAATAAACAGACCTAGGTTCTGTTACCAGTCATGCATGACCTTTATGACCCCACTAGGGGTCAGCGGCACCCTACCATCCTCTGTGAACATGAGGTCAGGTCTTTCTCACAAAATGCAGCCAGACACTTCTCCATCAGTAATTCTGTTAGTACAACACACTCATATAATGATATCAAACATGCCACTATTAGGTATGTAGAAATCCTAGAGACCTCTAATGCAGGTCACAGGTCTTCACTGCTTCCTGCAGGAATTATACAAGTTACAGCATGCAAATTAGTAACCACAATGAATAAGTGGGCCTTTCCATCCTGATCAGATAACAGGATGTACCAATCATTCTCTCATCATGCATTAAGCAGAAGTTATCACATCAACATTCCAAGAGTCCTCAGTTAGGCCTCTTGTGCATCTAATATTAGCATATCTCGCCGGTAAGATTAACCCAATAGAGACAGTCTTACCGAGGTAATCAGCACATCCTCATCTGCTTCTTCAAATACCTCACGTGGAGATTCTGCACGGGCCATGATACCTTGAGAACTTTCTCTACAAGGGAGATGCTACCTGCGTGCAGCTCTGTTCCTGAGTGCCCGGCGTCCACGTGGTCCCAATCTAATTGACTCAGGAGGCCCTTCCTCCTGCCATCGGGGCTGATTAGCAGATCTCCTGCTGCAGCTGGCAAAACACTTCAAAAGATGCATGAGTTTAACACAAACAGATAACATCACCAGGACCCCTCCTACGATCACAGGGACCTTGGCGTAAACCCATAATTCAGAGATTACCAGAGAGGCAACACCCACTGCTCCCTGGGCGACCACCTTGACGGCCTCTCTGATACCTAAGGTTAATCCTTGGCCAATAATTTTAAAACCCTTCTGGACAAATTGCCAATCAGACATCCTAGCTCTTTCACTCAACCAACATGTGCCTGTCCGATTGGGAAAATGAAAGGAACCAGAACAGTTCTGCTCCCAACGACCCCCACCAACAGGAATCCATGCTTGAAAGGGCCATATACCCAAGTCGCTCCTGTATTCAACAGCATCTATGTCCTCCTGACAAAAACAAGCTTTGGGGCCTTTCGAGTTGGCAAAGTAACCCCATCCTACTCCTAATGATGGGAAATTCTCTGAGTCCCAGACGACGTAACTGCTCCAATTTGAGTGCCACCAGTGGGGGTAACCGTGAGGGTCAACGAAGCCGCCCAGTTCATAAGGATTATACACATTTTTCCCATTTCTAACAGCAATTTTCGTAGCGGGCTGGGCCAGAGTTCTGAAGCACGCATCAGACCTACACCACCTGGTTAACAGAGAATTTCGCACCCAATTTGCTTCCCTGAATCGTAAAGCTTGTTCGCGATACGCATAATCATACTCCAAGTCTCGCAGCTCTCCAGAATAATGCCCCCATGTCATATTCATAAACCGAAACTTTGAATAAGCTGGAGTGGAGTACAAATCATCTAGATGTGGACCTTGAGATCGGACCATAGTCAGTTCTATTAAACTGCCATGTTTCTCCATCCTCACGAACGGAGGAGTCATATTTACACCTTTTTTCACATTTACATCTTTAATCGTTGGGACTGTAGCTGGGTTCAATAACGCCAGTAAATTAGCCATCCAAAAGATTGTAGAGCCGAGTCTCTCTTTAGGCCTGCATTCTAACACCCCTTCTGTCAGATTGGTAGCCCACCATTGTCCAAAAAGGACATCGTACTCTGTCACTCGCCCTGGCTTATCAAACCCGTTTGGGGCAAAATGTCCCATTAAGCCATGAACATCCTCCGTCCACATTTCATATGACACATTCAGAGCCCATCTCTTCGATGTGCTATTCACAAGCCATGCATCATGACTCGTTTTCGGAATCATACCAGGAAAAGGACCTCGTACATGTCCACCTAAGGACATTAACTCCCATATATAATTATTCCACCATGTTCTGGGGTATTTTGGGTCACTAGTTAATTTTTTAATACATCTCCACACGCTGTCCGCCTCTCCTTTGTCCCAGGCCAGACGTGGGATGATCATAAAATATTCTGTCATCCCATCTACCAAGCTCCTGTTCAGCACATGTGGAGCATGAATGAAGTTTAATTTAACTCCCTTTGGGGTTACATGCAATGTCATGGGTAACAGTTGTTTTCCTTTTCCTAAAGGGATCATTTTGTAAGCTGAAAAAGCTTTGGTTCTGCCCAACCAAATACTCTGTGGACTAGGAAGCCTGTGGCCTTTCGTCTGCTCCTTAGCAGCACGCGTCTGCCTCCTCAAGTGAGGGGTCACAGCCGTGTCTGCGTCTTGTGGAGCAATCAGCTGCGACATGGGGGGTAGGGAACCCCCCTCCATTGCCCAGCTATCATTCCCAGCTGCAGTTCCATTCGGGAACGCAAGGAGTCTGAATATCATGCAATCAGAAACCTTATCAAAACCAGTTATATATTCTCCCCAGACAGTTAGTACCCCAAAATGGTAAATTTTAGTAATACATTCCACAGGTTGTACATCAATTGTGTAGTCCCACACTTTAAGCTTTCCTTCCTCCCATCCTAACAGCCCATAAGTAGAATTATGGCTGTCAGTGACATTATTAAGCTGCTCTAACCACATCAGCCAGCCGGTAGATGTGGGGCTACAGGCCTCGCCTGGATCAGGGATTGGACAGCCCTGTGTAACAGCCTTACAATATTCCATCCACTGAGTGGCATTAAAGTTCTCCTCATGAGGAGTCAAGCACGACACTCTAGGCAGGTCTAGAGTTCCTGGTCGCTTGTGAACCCACCCTTTAACCACAGCCGTGGTCTTGAGTGTTACAACTCGTGAAACAGGCAGCGAGATAAAAGATATTGCTACCACACAGATTAATAAGCCGATACAACATAAGATACCTCCTCTCCAACTCTCCCAGCAAGTCTTATCAGGAGGTCGTGTGAGGAGCCGATCTAGCTCCTCCTCCTCCCACTCTCCGCAGGAATCCATGAATCTCTGCTGCCTGTAGAGACGAGGAGAATTAGGCAGAGAGCTTCATCATACACATTTTTCTTAATTCACCTGTGGCCTTGGTGCAGCCACGGTGTCCCTTGTAAATAGCCTGGGGGTCTCCGCGTGCCGATCCCACTCCAAGTTTACTGCTATTAAAACACCATCACTTTTCTTTAGTGAGTCTCTCCAAACATCTAGCTTCCTCCAGCCTTTCTGTGTTTTAATTAATACTTGCGTCTGACTTCTGGTTATTGACAAGTCATTACATGTTGGTACAGTAGCTGAGGTGTACCAATCCTTATCTGTTGTCTCATGACGAACCTGTCTCCTTTCCCACTCGTCAGTGGTTACAGGAAACTTGCCTCGCCTGTCTCTCCAACACAGTTGTGGTTCAGTAGCTTCCCACAGCACCTTTCCCCAAGGTGAGAAAGTTTCACTCAAACTCCCTCCCTTTCTAGTACACACTATCTCTTTAAAGCAATTCTCCCAATATGCCTGGGAGCATGTCAAGCCTGACAGGTGACTCATCTCAGGAACCAGCAACACTACAGGGTAAATTCGCACCCCACATGAACTGGAACAACTGGAGAGTCTTCCTTTGTCCACTCTGCAACATTTTCTAGATTCATCAACACTATGATGATCGAGACGACCAATTCTTGTTTTGCCTGCTTTACTCATCCAACAATCTCCACACCACGCCACTTTCATCACACCATGCAGTTCCACAGCATTTGTGGGTGAAGGATTTTTTCTCAGAACTTTGTCTTTAAGAAATCTTGGGCCTTCCCACCTTATCTCAGCAACTTCATTACCACAGTTTGCGCATGTACCCGGTCTGTAAACTGACCAGCTGAAGCACTCCTCATCACAACTTTGCCCTTGTACTTTACCTAATGTAATCCCCCCTGAACTTGATGCACTCAGCAGCCATATTGGAGATGCAATTCCACCTTCATTTAGTGGTACCCAGTTATTTACAGTCTTCAAGCCAGACTGTGCTTTGGTTAGGGGTTGCACATCTGATTGTGTTCCCTTCATGGTTCCCCTCAATCTTTTCAACTTTTCCATCCTGGGGTCTTTTATGCAGGAAGCTTCTCTCTTGTTCTCCCTGTGGAGAGACAGAGGGTGTGTCTTTAGCAGATTCTTGTCTTAAAGGCTGTTCTAATAGAGCCCTATTAACAGCCAGAACTGCACCTGGAGAATCCCATTCCTTCAAGTTCAAGGTTTTTATCGCCTCTTTAACGGTGCGAACTGCTCTCTCAGCCACTCCATTTGTGTGTGGCTTGTAAGGGATGGACCACTGGATTATTAGTCCTTCATTCTCCAGTAGCTCCAGAACAACTTTATTTTTGAAATGTGGTGCATTATCCGTCCTGATAGCTTTTATTTGTGGATAACACACCATTATTCTCGCTAGGCAATCTGCAATCCTTCCTGCTGTCATATTGGGCAAAGGGAACATACCCCCTATATTCTCCCCCCTGTTCCCTTTGACCACCAGGAAATACTTGTTGCCCTTTTGTGTTCTCTTCAGCTCTCCAATGTCACAAGAGACAGAGGTCAAGCCTTCTGGACCAATACGGTCACCAACCACTTTCTCTGTGGGTTGTTTACCCAGCTCTAAGCATAGAGCGCAGTGTGATTTAACATCTCTCAGCACAGAGTCCAAATGGGGGATGCAAACTGCATTCTGCAAGCACCACTTCTTCAGCCTTTGAAAACCAGGGTGCCCCAAAGTTTCATGCAGCTTCTTCACCAGGTCGTGGTCAGACTCTGTACTGTCATGCAAAACCAGTCTCACCATTCTTGCCTGCACCAGCCTGTCCACCGCAGCATTTCCTCTGGCAGCAGAGGTGTCACTCAGTGTGTGAGCCGGCTGGTGTCGAACCTGGAAGTTACCTTTTCTTAGACAGTTAGCGATCAAAGCCCACTCGTCTGTGAATTTCACAGGACCTCCAGCCTGACCCTTAGTCATCCCATGCTTCTCCCACGTGGGGAGTTCATTGTTCACCCCTTTACACACCCATTCGCTGTCAGTGATGATCAGCGCAGGAGATTTCCCATGCGTCCGCACATGGTGTACCATAGCTTCCAAAATAGCTGTGAGCTCTGCTTTCTGAGCAGAACCTGCAATCCTCCCCTTTCTCTGAGAGGTCTTCCTGTTATTTACATATTTAATCCATGCCCAGAATGCCATATCATCATTCTGTGTTTTTCTGTGTCTCTGTGCTCAAAAGCACAGTGACTGTTTTTACAAAGTTCAATGACCTCACTCACTCTCCTCTGTGAGCACACGGTCATTATTCATCAGTCTCCCCCCCTTGCTTCTAAGCCCTCGCTTTAAGGCCTGGAGAGACTGCATTCTTTCTGACAGCTTTGGTATATTTTCACCATAAAACCCCAGCTTTCCAACACTCCTTCAAGCTGTAGCAGGGTTTTTTGGCAGCGTGATGTTTTCAAAAACTTTCACATCTACCTTTCTCCCTTCAGGAGTGTATTGATATCCCAGAAACTTTATATTTCAGATCAACAAGTAACTCATTCCAATCCTCCACCCCCCTGCCTATTGGATTCTGAGGCACACACGGGGGAGGGGTAGCTTGAATTACATATAGCTCTCCTTTGCACAATCCACAATCATCCTTGATTTTTTGGCAAAGTTAATAGTTTTCATCTCGTGTCTGAGAAGGGCTTTCTGTCGCTCATCAATCAAAGCTCCCTGAATAATCCTGTCCATTTCTTTATCCACATCTACAACAGCTCCTCTCACCACCACCTGAAAATCATGATCTGGCACAATGCTTGCTGGATGAGTAAAATCAGACAGATTATTTTGCACAAGCTCCACCAAGTCTGAAATGCACAACCAACTAGCATATTTCGGCGCAGGCATTCATAAAGCGGGCATTTTATCATTGAACGCGGGTTGAAAATCAATATCTGACCCATCTGCTAGACGTGCTGAGCGTAACTCACTAACCTCTGTTAGAAAACATCGCTCCCACTCCAGCTGGGCCGTCACGAGCCCACAAGCTCTCAATATCAGCCATCCTCACCGCGTTCTTCCTCCCTCGCTCACTGCAGCCATCCCTAAATTTTCCCTCAGTTACACGAGTATCTTTACTCATAAAGATCACCTCGCATCAAAATCGTTGTCCTTTAAAGGCAGGGTGTGCGTGCACACACACCAGCAGCAACTCAGCTGTTCTGCCCCGGATTACGTCCACGAGGTCAGGAATTGCAACCTGCGACTTCATTCTATTTTGTGAGAATCTTTTACGAGGCCACTCACTTTCCTGCGTGTGAGAATTCTGCTAAGAGGTTCTCACAAAACCCCTTTGCGCCGTGTGCACCTGGTGGAGAGAAACGCACTTCTACGGAACCGATCCAACCGGACCAGTGCGTTCCAACACACTTCCAGCTACTGGACTTCAGAATCTAAACTCATAGGCTCCCTAAACGGCCCCCTTCGGCCAATATAGCCGGCTCCTTAGGGACAAATTGTCCGCCCTTGCGGACAATTTTCCCAGTTCCGGACTTTCTAAGCTCACAACAGGTTGTTTTCTACTCAACTGCGAAATCACAGCCCCACGTTATTGGGCGCCATGTTACAAGTCATCCTCCCAAACTAGCTGACTCTTTAATAGACACTACGTCTCAGGGTTGACTTGTAATTCTATTTGTGCGTGAGCGTGACTCCAGTCTGAGCTTACACCTCTGTGAGCTAATCAGCGATCATCTTTACCTAGATTTAGACTCTGGCAAACATACTTTAGCAGCACAAAGGAAGACTCTTGTTATAACTTCACCACAACTCAGTCACCTGCAGCTTATGCTATGCCCAGGTTAAAGACTTTAAGTTTAAATGTAAACCTCTTGGAGCGGGATCAAAAAGTAACCAGCGCCTCACCTTTCAGCTGTTACACGACACGATTGGAGACCCCAGGCTGGAAATTCCGTTTAAAGCCCCTTATATGAAGGAGCAAATATTTTATTTTATATGATGAAGTAAAAATATTCCAGATTTCCCGACGCAGCGGGTCAGATCACTCAACCGTTACAGTTGTCCTCCAAACTCTCCCCAAACACCCAAAAAGCCCCCAGAGACCAAAAAGCCCCTTGCCCACGGAGCCCTCACACTTTTATTCTCCCCAACTCTCTCCTCTGGCCCCCCTTCCATCTCCATGGCAACCCCTGCCTCGGAAGCATTCTCCGGCCTTGGGTCTTCTCCCAGCCCCCTCCGGTATCAGCCAGATGGGCGGGGGTCTTCCCTCCTCCTTCTTCCTTCTTCAGCTCAGATCAAAGGAAGTCAAACATGAACATCTCCATACGTGTCCCTGAAGTTCTTATCACATCCTGGGCTACACCATAAAAAGTCGATACAAGGTTAAACTACAACATAAATTTGTCATGGATAGCAGATTAGTTGAAACACACACATCATTTATGGCAGCATGAGATCAGGAGTCAAATCACCACACACAGACCTCTAGCTGAACCCTGAAGCCTGGTTTCACTAACATACAGATTTGAGATGTAATCCAGAACTGCTATTATATAATAAGACAGGTCTGGAGGAATCGAAAATCTTTATTCAACAATTATTGTTTATTTTTTCGCTGACGCCTCATATGAATGACTGTCTTGGGTTGTTTCTGTAGGGAAACGCCCTGGTGCTCCTGTTTCAGATGACAGGAGTTATTGAGAGGAGCGGGGGGTGGGGGGGTGGGGGGTGGGGGGGGGGGGGAAATTACGGGGTTTACTCATTAATATTTATGATATGAAATGTCTTACCTCTGATTGGCTAACAGCAATGTGACTCTTTTGCTGCCTCTGTTTCTCTTCTCTCCACAAAGAACGCCTGAACGTCAGACGTGGAAAGTAACGAATTACATTTATGCACATTACTGTGTAGCTTTTTTGTATATTTATACTTTTTAAGTCATTTTTTAAATCTGTACTTTTACTTTTACTTGAGTAAGTTTTTTTTAAAGAATTGTAATTTGCAACATTTTAAATCATATCCATTACTGTGTAAAAATACATTATAGGCTAAATAAATTAGAAATATTGCGTGTCGCAGCGTCGGAACAGAAAGACAAAAAAAAAAAAAAAAAAAAAAGAAAGAGACATTTGCATGAGCACCGCGTCTAAACCATGGGGGGGGGGGGGGGGGGGGTTTACACTTTTTATAATGAGGACAAACAGCCATTTTTATCGCAATTTTTCTTGAAAACATCAGTTCAGTCCCTGTGATCCACTCGCTGTTCACCTCCTCTCTCCCTCCTCTCCTGTAGGTTGGAACCCGCACCTTCGCGCACCGGTGTGACATCATCAGAATTCTGCTCGGTTCGGTAGCCGGACTCGGTTCCGTGTTTGAAATGTGTTTCCCTACCGCTCCGCACGGAAGTGGCAAAATAACATTTAGCGCTCATAACAAGCGGATTCTCAGCGCTTTGCTCATAAAACAGAAGACCTGCAGGCCTCCGTGAGTTAAAACATCCTGATGCTGTTCAGGTGTAAACATTGTGCTCCATCCCTGTGTTTGAACTCAGAAGATGCTCCTTGATGCCACAGATATGTGATGATTTAGCTTGTTTCTTTATTTTACTCCAGAATAAGAGATTAAAGTATTACTAAAGCAGTTCAGTGTAGTTCAATTAGTCATGACCAGTAGCGGTTTTAGGCACGGGCAGACCGGGCAGTTGCCCGGGGAGGCATTTTTTCATGACACAAAAGGGGCGCACAAGCGCAGAGTAAAAAAAAAAAAAAAGGAAATCTGCGCCGCACCGAGGTTTTCTATTATCTGTCATATGACAGTGTCTGGATTGGAAACAGCAAGTTGGCGCCCCCTGCAGCTGCAGGCGCTCCTGCTGACTGAGAACGTTCACGTGCACCGTGTGTCTATGAAGAACAGGAAGGGGAGGGGTGCGGCGGGGGAATTCACCTCTGCGTCTTTCCCAAATGAAATGAGCGTGCAGGGGCTGAATCAACTGTATTAACGTGGCTAAAGTCAATCACATCTTAACGTTCTTCCATATTTCATTCATAATATCATAAACACAGGCCTATCATTCTTTCAGGTTTCTCTGAATTGTGTGAAATGGCCGAATAAAAAAAGGAAAAACAAAAACGATTTTGTGGTCACCCCCCCCATCAAGGTCAAATTGTTTAGTCCTGACTAAAGGAAACTTACTGAGTCAGGAGCCAAACAGAAGAGATGAACATAAAAAGGCTAAAACCACCAGGTGCCCGATTCAGGGGGAAAAAAAGAAAAAAGAGGAGAAAGATAAAGGTATGTAGCTCTCATGATGCATGTTTTCAATTTTTTGAACCAGTTAACTGGGATTTTAACGGTTAAATGCGGTCAACTAATTGCTAACAGAGCTAATAGGGCTGAAATATTTAAACGAATATTCAAATGGTTCGAAAAAAGTCCTTGAATCGTTTTTTACTGATTCAAACTAGGATTTGTTAAATGCTCGCTGCAGCCTGTAGCCTGCCTGAACAACAACAAACACATGTTGATCATGTTCACATGATAATAAATAAAACAGCTCTACAAGCAGAAGAAAACTCCCCAGTCACCACTAACTATCCTGTTTATTTATTGCAGATGGCTGTACTGATTATTTTACATGATTTGTTCTGTAAAAGTTGGCATTTTTGGTAGTCTACAGTTTTTTATGTCAGTTTAAATTACAATTTCAGAGGCAATTCTAAAATATTATGGATCATGATAAAGATCTATTGGAGATCTACCCCAACTTTTGGACTGCTCTGCCAGTCACTGTGGCTCAAGCTGAGAGGAGCTTTTCAAAACTTGATCAAGTCATACCTGAGGTCAACTATGTTTCAGGGGCGGCTCACTAACCTGGCTCTGATTAGTATCAATCACTCAGTAGGGGAGCAGATTTCATGTGATGACATTATTGACGACGTTGCATCAAGGTTAGGTTTTAATTTTAGTTTGTGTTTTCTGTTCTAAGTGCAATGCTGTAGTGATTATCTTTAGTTTGTTATGTGTGAAATATTTTTGCTATTTAGAATATTATCTATTATGTTCATATATTCTTAATATTTAGTTATTGTTTGTTTTTGTATATTTGATTCTATATATTTTGATACAGTATATAATGTGTATTGCTTTACATTCTGACAACTTCATAGTAATTAATGTAAATATGTGCAACTTAGAAAAATGAATGTTCAATAGTCGTTCTAATAAAACATGCCTGTTTGTAGAAAACATGCGTGTGTTCATGAAGGTGGGGTGGTGTGGTGTGGTGGTGGTGGTGGTGGTGGTGGTGGGGGGGGGCGGTTGTGGGGGGGCGCTCAAAGGGGGCCTCGCCCGGGGAGTAATTCGATGTAGAACCGCCACTGGTCATGACGCGTGCGTGTGTGTGTGTGTGTGTGTGTGTGTGTGTGTGTGTGTGTGTGTGTGTGTTACACATGTAGAACTGTATGAGACAGCGTGGTTTCATCAAATCTATGCATCTTATTTCTTGGCTGAAGTAACGGCTCAGGAAAATAACATATTTCTTACATAATGTTGTCTCTGCAGTGTTTACGATAATGTTTTATCTTATCTTTGGTTTGGGAGGTGTAACTTATCATGATACAAGCCTTTTAAAACATGTTAAAGTTTTACAAGAGGAGACGAATGCATGAATTTAAAGTTCATGTTTGGAGACCAACCTTCACAGTTTGGAGGCTCACGCTGGTGAGGAGACACCATTAGTTCTAGTAACACCTGGGCTCCCAAGGCCTGTTCTGACAGGATGGACGTTACGGGACCCTTAAGGATTCCAGTTGGATGATTGGAGGATTATTTAGGAGGATTGGAATGAACAAACTGATTTCAGTGGTGAAGGGTTAAATGAGTGAGTGAACCCACCACCAAGGATGAACTCTGCTAACTTTAAAAATCAGCTGCTCTAAATAAGCATGAAGGTCAGAGAGGAGCTCTAGGATGGACACGGATAAAGGAACTGTAATGTAGAGGTAAAGTAGGGCAGGGCCAACGTTAGCAGCTGTCATACGCTCCATCTGACATGTTTGACTTTCATTTAGCTCGTTATGTGACAGGTTAGAGCAGTCTCATGTTAGAGTTTTGTCATGAGAACATTGAGATAGCTCACACACTGATGGCATCTTAAAATTAACTCTTTTTTTTTCAAAATAAAAAATGATTTCTATCACAATTGAAACGTACAATCCTAAAAAAATACCTCGTCCAATCAATGTGCACGTCCTGTTCTCACTGATTGGATAGAAACCTCTCCATCCAACTGTGTGTGTGTGTGTGTGTGTGTGTGTGTGTGTGTGTGTGTGTGTGTGTGTGTGTGTGTGTGTGTGTGTGCGCGCGCACGAGCGTGTTGTGAACTGGTGTTGTGGTTTTGCACTACTTAGATGTAGCCATCTTTACACTGACAGAAATGTAACTAAGTAACTTTTACTTTGAGTACATTTTATTTATGATACTTTTTACATTTACTTGAATAAAAATTTAGGCAAGTACTTTTACTTGTACTTGAGTAAATAATTGTCAAAGTATTGGTACTCGTACGTGAGTAGGACGTTTTTGTACTCTTTCAACCTCTGCTGAACGCGCACCGCCATGTTGTGGAACTGCTAATGGTTAGCTTCTGTTAGCGGAGACACGCTCTGATCTCGCCTAAGGGGGCGGGACCATGAATACTAATGACAGAAGGGACGCTTTTTCTGATTCGGTCGTTTTCCCGTCTGTTTCCTTTCTGCAGCGACAGCAGGTTTGGGAACATTTCCACATTCAGCGTGACCGACCGTATTTTAGAGAGAACAAATATCACACGGTTCCTATGGAAACCAGACCTTTTAATTGGGGTAGAGCAGTGGTTACTTATGGGGCTTTTCAGCCAACATTACAGGCAGAAACTTTATCGTCCGCTTTTCAAGAAGATGGTGAGGAGCTAGCTTGTGATGCTATCTATTCTCACCTCAGCAATTTATTTTAGAAACAGAACATCCAGTGAGTCCAATAAAGTCCAATAATCTGGGATTAAGGCATCCCTCTGGTCAATAAAAATACCTGCATCTGAAATTAATCTTAACTTTCCCCATGAATCTGTATTTTAGACGGTT